ATATCATGCTCTATCAAATATATAGAATGTCAACGTCAGAGAATAATCAAAATATAGTCACCTATTTAGCAAGTTCCGGGAATACGCAGACTACTAAATTACAACAAACAAACATAGATTACTATATCGAGTGGTTCCACAAAGTATCTAACTTGCGAAGGCGTATCCAATCATGGACCTGGAATTCGATCTCACACACATGTTTGTTGCCAGTTATGTCATGTGAGTTTCCCAATCATTAGTGTGTAAGAAATGTGTACTGTCTGTACCAGTCTAATTTTGTTTGGTCAAAGTCTTGCTTTGTTACAGCTAATTTGTAATTTGAACGTTAGGCTGATAACATGCAATATTAAAGTCGTTTTATAAAGTCAATTATTGCCTTGCAATAGATGGATAATTCCTATCAAGGACGTATCACAAGTTGACATTGAAGGACGTGTTATATACCAGTATATGTACCGGGTTTGACATGTACTAAGAGTGTGATGTTATAACGAGGGACGTTGTGTATAGTACGAGAAGAACGACCTTGAACTAAACACGCTAAGGTCAATATATATTTTGATATTCCCCTGTCATATTAATCGTTATTCCAGATTTTCTTCTATTCTCTTCGCATATCCCATCCTTAATATTTTATTTTTTTTAATATTCTGCTCGTGTAGATAGTCCTTAATGAACTCTCAGTAGTTGTTTTTATACATACATATATTCATATTTTTTTATCACTTACAATTTCTGCGTACAACGTTTACCGTGCCACCACACACATATTCCTGAGAGAAATGACCCATGTGAAAATGGGTCAGCGTGGAGTAACTCAAGGTGATATGCTGTGTCACTGTTTTTCATGTTTTAGACATGAGTTATTCCTTTTAAGGCCACAGAGCTTCCAAAATAACAAACAGGCGGAGAACATGTCTTAGAATTTCTTGAATGTGAAGCGATGCCTATCTTTGTCCATTTATATCTGATAATAGTTTTAATGAAAGCCGCTCCGTGCAGTTGTATGGGTGTAGTACAGCCTGTTTAAAAGGACACGTTCTTCGTGTGTTTGCGTTGTGGTAATATACAATGAGGTTGTGTTTGTTTTGGGTAGCAGTGGGGTAGACTATTGTCTGTCTCCTGGCCCAGTAGGGTATTTAGACGGGACGATTTATGCATTAAGCAAGGGCGTATCCTGACTAACACGAGATCAAACTGTACTTTTTATTAGTCCGGTGTTATTATGTGAAACGGGCGTGGTTGGGATCTTTTAAAGTGGACATTAATTGAAAGGTTGAAAAAAGTATAAGATGTCTATCAAGGTGCATTTTTATACCAGCTTTCAGCAATTTTCTTTGGGGTATGTATGACAATAATAAATTTTGATGTAGGTCTCTTGTGAACAGTATATAAAAAACGTCCTTGTTATGCGATAGTAAGTACTCTGTTCAAATAATATCATTCAGTTGATGCTCTTAGGGATGCATGGTTGTATATATACTACTCAAAGGAAGTTAAAGATACCATGACAAATTAAAAATTGTAATTTGAAGGAATCGTGTGTTCTTTTACATCTTTTGAGTAGTATAGATATGACAATTGGCAGTAGCATGAGGTGATTACCATGGTATGTAGAAGTATTCGTTTCCCCAGTGGTAATGTCTGTCGAACAGTATGGATTTGAAACTTTGCCAAACGTAGTGTAGTCACTCAACTTATGTCCCTGAGGTGGTATATCATCAGTAGCCTACATCGGTGTTCTGTTTAGCTGATTTTGATTTAACCTTTTCACGGTATCTATATAGCTACTGACCACACCCTTCTCCTCTGTCTCACGCATCACACCCCCACCTCAACCTCATCCTCCACATCGCACACCGCCACGCCCAACCCTCACCCTCAACCCCAATTACACACCGCCAACCCCAAGCCTCACCCTCACCAACACCCCAACATCACACATACACCGCCACGCCCAACCCTCAACCCCACATAACACACCGCCAACCCCAAGCTTCACCCTCACCAACACCCCAACATCAAACTCCGCCACGCCCAACCCTCACCCCCACACACTGCCACGCCCAACCCTCACCCTCACCAACACCCCCACGTCACACACCGCCACGCCCCACCCCCACACACTGCCACGCCCATCCCTCACCCTCACCAACACCCCAACATCAAACCCCGCTACGCCCAACCCTCACCCTCACCCCCACACACCACCACGCCCAACCCTCACCAACACCCCCACACACTGCCACGCCCAACCCTCACCAACACCCACACGTCACACACCGCCACGCCCCACCCTCACCCCCACACACCGCCACGCCCAACCCTCACCCCCACACACCGCCACGCCCAACCCTCACCCCCACACACTGCCACGCCCAACCCTCACCAACACCCCCACGTCACACACCGCCACGCCCAACCCTCACCATCACCCCCACACACTGCCACGCCCAACCCTCACCAACACCCACACGTCACACACCGCCACGCCCCACCCTCACCCCCACACACCACCACGCCCAACCCTCACCCCCACACACTGCCACGCCCATCCCTCACCCTCACCAACACCCACACGTCACACACTGCCACGCCCCACCCTTCACTCAAAATAAAACAGTCATGGAATATCATTTCAAGTGCTCCTAATGACTTCTTGGATAAGACTCCCACATTGGGTGGTGCCGCCCTCATGTATTCTGATGGCATGTCACGGCGACCTCTGCAGCCTACAGTCTGGTAGGCCGTCATTCTGTGGGCTATCCGAGCATGGCGAGCAGATATGATGAAATGAATATGAAACTCTTCATCTGCGAGGATCATTCCTGTATATAATGATGTAATTAACAGGTGGAGGCTCCTGTGTAATTATCTTCTCATGTGCTTCATCTTCTCGGCGTATTACCCTAATTCTATTCCATGCGCAGATACAAGGCAAAAACTCGAGCTTGCCACTCAGGCTAATTTTGTCGCCATTTCGAGAAAGATGTCGGCAATGTATTTGATGAAGATTGACTCGAAAACAGTTTAATCCTTTACATGTTCCATCTCTGATTTTTAAGTACCCTAATTTCGCCGACGTCTCCTTGTAAACGTGTTCGTTTGGGGTGTATCAAGAAAATACAGCTTGCTGAAGACAGGGAATTTGAGTGATTGAAATGTGGAATAGATAGACATTTCACATGTTGAAATGGCGAAGAGAACTGTGTACCAACCCAATTAGCCAAAGGAAAGTCTGATTATTGAGTCTTCGTTGTAGAAGTGTGATTTGTTTATTTGTCTTGTCTCTTATATGGGTGAGGACTAAATAACATCATGGTGCATTCCGACATGCTGATTTGTGGTATTACAAAACACTAGTGTAACATGAGTTGCCACATCTTGACACGTTACCTGACAAATCTGTGTGATGAGGCAGTTCAGGTGCGATGTGAAATTCTGTTCATAAGTATGCATAGCTGCACTTCTTGTTGGCAGATTCGATGCGCTGTATTTCGTTTTTCAGCTACTCGAGTAATAAATTGGATGCATTGTATTTCATTTTTCAATTACGAGAGTAGCTGATTCGATGCAATGTTTTTCATTTTTCTTTCTCGAGTAGCTGATACGATGCGTTGTATATCATTTTTCAATTACTCGAGAAGCAGATTTGATGCATTGTATTTCATTTTTCAATTACTCGAGAAGCAGATTTGATGCATTGTATTTCATTTTTCAATTACTCGAGCAGCAGATTTGATGCATTGTATTTCATTTTTCAATTACTGGAGAAGCATATTTGATGCATTGTATTTCATTTTTCAATTACTCGAGTAGCAGATGCGATGCATTGTATTTCATTTTTTCAATTACTTGAGTAGCAGATACGATTCATTATATTTCGTTTAGAAATTACTCGAGTAGCAGATATAGTAGCAGTGGTATTGTTTTGCGTTTTCATTGACTCTATTAGCAAATTTCGATTATTTCCTTTGAACAGTTGTTGGCTCGAGTGGCAGATTCGTGGAAATATGTTGCATAATCATTTAATCTAGTGGCAGACTCCATTACTTCCTTTGAATAATCAGTGTCTGTGTTTGTGGTGGGTGCCCCGGTTGGACAGGATCTTCAGATAAACAATTGGCTTTCCTTTGCATGTGTTTGTGACGGGTTAGATGTTCACCTGGTATCATCGGTATTTGATAGTGATTCATAAACGCCTGCTAATGGTATGGTCGGAATCGTACAAAGGATATTACTTATGAATATGGAAAGGACTTTGTCGCTTTTATTTATTTGAATAATCATTGGCAGATTCGCGTGGCATGATTTTTCATTTTCATTGACTTGAGTGGCAGATGCTATTGATAATCTTACATTAACATGGACTCGATTGACAGATAGAAGATTTTTGTATTACCATTGACTCGATACATTATTTTGCATGCCCATGAAAACGCGTATGAATGCCATTAACTATTTAAGTGATAACCGACTAGTCGACCCCATGCTCGTCAAACACGAATAAATGTAATACATTTAACTATTGATAAATGAAGATGATTTATCTTTGTTATATTCTATTTTTTGGCGTATAATAGGTGCATGATAAAGAACTAAAATTGGTTCATAAATTATGAAGTTGCGTCCCTTAGCACTACCAGGATCCTACTGGTCGTGGGTTCGAATCCCAGATTGGCCCCGATTATGAACTGAAAAATTGTTCAGAGAGGCGTTGGAGGCAGGGATGGCACCAAGTCTAAGGTGCAGAGTTGCGTCTCTTAGATGTGCCAGGATCCATGGATTACGGGTTTGAATTCTGGATTCTCACAGATTATGACTCTTGGTATGTCAGCTCTGTACCCATGCTCGTACCTTGGGCTTCCCGACCACATAACCATTATTAAAGATAACGCAGCATCAAACCCAATGAAGCTCAACTTACTCACTCACTCGCTTCCTCATAAATGCAAACTGTCTTCTCTTTTATTATAAACGTTGTTTCCCCCCTCCAGAGTGACGAACTGGGAGCGCTTCCACATGGGAATACACCAGTACGGTCTCTACAGCCAGGACGACCACTACATTGACGACCTGCTCAAGGACCTCGCCACGCTCCCCGTCGTCGATGTTGGTAAGTACTCTGATGTCGTTGATTAAACCTCACACTGTCGGACACAGCTAACACGTACATGGATCTGACTATCAAGTGTGGACAGGCGTGCAATCAAAGTATGGCACGTTGATAGGTATGGAAAAATAGAGACTGACGACTGATACAAATACAGATTACATATTGGACACTGTCATATAGAAACACGTACAAAACAATTCGAGGTTGATACTTATAAAATGCGCTTACAAAATAACATCCCCACGAATCTGGTCGCACCTTCGTTTCGCGATCTTACAAGATATGGATCGCGATCCGGTCCCGACATGGTTGCTATCGAGGTGGCGTTAGTTTTAAAGTGGTACTTCATACCATATTTAAAATGAGTATGAAACACCCGATACAGTTGTACTGGACACCCAGGTACATTATGGAATAAGTCTTTAGCAATCCATACTTGTCGTAAAAGGCGACTATGCTTGTCGTAAGAGGCGACTAACGGGATCGGGTGGTCAGGTTCGCTGACTTGGTCGATGCATGTCATCGATCCCAATTGCGTGGATCGATGCTTATGTTGTAAATCACTGGATTGTATGGTCCAGACTCGATTATTTACAGACATATAGCTGGAATATTGCTGAGTGCGGCGTTACACAACAAACCAAAACCAGGTACGTTGCCAACAGAGGGTGAGTGTAGTGAACCCAGTTAAAGACCTCTGAAACACGTTACGCCTGACACAGACTGTTATGTGATAGAGATATCACTTGAAACACCAAGGCTAAAATCTTTCCTAATAACTAACGACCAACCACACTGGACACTATCACGTCATGATATGACTGGAATACTGTTCAAAGCGGCGTTAAACTCACTCACCCACACACTCACTATCTTACGTCATTTCATATCCCTCGTGCGGTATCCGGGTTAAAATACGTTCCTAGTAACCTATGCTGTTCTTAAGGGTGAGTGTGGATTTACGCCGCTTTTAGCAATATTCCAGCAATATCACGGCGGGGGACACCAGAAATAGGCTTCACACATTGTAAACCCATGTCGGGAATCGAACCCGGGTCTTCGGTGTGACGAGCGAACGCTTTAACCACTAGGCTACCGTACCGCACCCTGATCTTAAGAAGATCGGATGGTGAAGATCGGTTTGGTGAATTGGTTGATTGTGTGTCATTCTTCCCAGACAGCATCATAAAACAGTTGCTCATAATATCAGTCACTGGATTTACTGGTCCTGACTCGATTACATACAATTCGCTGTCATGTAGCGGCAATATTGTGCGGCGTTAAACTACAAATAAACAAACAAAGGCCATCGTTATGAAGTAATACAGATGCTGACGCAGCTTAAAATGATAATTATTAACTCACTCACTCACTCTGCGAATCTTGCTTCGATACGATTTCTGAGTTCGGTGTTAAACAACAAATAAACAGACACTGCATCAATAGCCCTTCAGAAAGGAGAAAACCGGATTTTTCTTTAGATTTCGGTCAGAATGTAGTCATCAAAAACTAACACCAGAGGACATCAAAGCGACATGCCTTTAACCTATACTGTCTCAAATCGAATCTTCCGAACAGAATTCGGAAAATTCTCCTTTCAAATTTGTAACATGGTTCAGATCACTGTTCCTGTTTATTTGTATACCAAGCCCCGCGATCTTGTCTATAATGTTTTCCTAACCCGAACAATGTTCTAATATGTACCCCGGCCGTGTCTGTATTCGTGATTCTTACTGAGATAATGGGTAGTGCCGGTGTTGGTTCGGGAGTGCATCGGAACAGAAAGGGCCGGGGCCTGCTGCGGCTGAGAGGGTTCATGAGTAGGAGAATGTGTCTATTCTTAATGAGATAAGAACACTGGCCCATGCTGTTGGAGAGAGGGATCCCGTTTCACGAACCTGGCTCACATGCCGAACATGTGGCTTAGATTGTTGCGAAAACGGCCTTTACCTTCTTGATGTTTTCATGCAGTTTGACGGATTAGGTTGCATGTGGTATTATTTGGCAAATAAATTAATTCATATTTAACAGATAAATAGTTAGCTAAATGATGAGATGAATGGATAAATAATATAGAAAGGTATAAAACTAATCAGTGAATGACCGGTAGGCAGGACTTGCTTACTTACCCTTTTCGCGAACATGGTGTCATCACTAATTTTCAGTGATCCATTCATATTATATTCACTCCTATTTTGATTCTATGACCAATGGAATCTGTTTAGGAAGATTATCAAGACTGATTTTTTCTGGCCTTGACGTTTTATATATTTGATAAATAAATACCTTTGAATAAATGAATTGTGACAATTTTGAAAGAAAAAAGATATATTTGAAACTGAGTGTACATCGTGAGCGATGATGAGGAAGCATTTTTATACGCATTTTTAAAAAAAATAAATGTCCAACATTTTTATAAAGTATTCTGTTTTAACATTGGTACTTTAAGGAGTGGTCACTCAAAGAGAACACATTATGACCATATTTAGACTTAAAGACGTCATGGATATTTTTGTGACATTATTTCCTCGTATTTGGACTGGAAGCACACCATTTTATAGTGTGTTTAGTTCATTCGAAACTGAATTATATTTGGTTTGGGATATTTTCAATTTTGTCATTGACATTCCTTGAGTTCACCCAGTCCGCGTCTCTATCACCCAGGCGAAACTTGGCACGAATGCAAATCTTCTAACTGCCGACAACTGTGTTAATGAGAGTAATATTTTCTCAAATTATTCTCCGGTTGATATGTTATTTCCTAAATTTGTAAATTTGATGGTAAAATTGCACCCCAATTCGTTTGATCTGACGAGAAACGTGTGATTGTGAGACAAACTTGAGGAGACACGAATACCCAGACATCGCTACTCAAGTTAATCCACGACATGCAAACCGTTGCAAGCCTAACAACAGACGTACCAGACAAATGTTCAGGTACAATACTCCAGGCAATGACAGCCTCCACAACAAAAGAGTTCCTGGAAGTTTTTCCATGGCGAGAACGCAAAAAGTAAACCCGTGAAAAGAAACGCAATATTGAAAACGTCGCAAAGAATCAACTACGAGGGAGTACGTTATCCTTTGTGACATGGCAAGAAGCGAACTGCCGACATTTTCATATTCCGTGAATTTTGTTTGCGTTTTGTTGCCTCCAAATATGAAGAGATTTGTTTGCCTTCTCACACCACGGGGAGAACTTGGGGAGGAGTTAAAAACTGCGTTATTTTGTGTTGTGTGGTCGATTCATTTGAACTTAACGTTTCCTCTGCAGACAAGCTAATTGTTGTGTCAGGAGCATTATATTTGAATTAGATTGACATTTGATTGTTGAAACCCTTGTCATACTTTAAACAAGAAATAAGATCGCTACTCCAAGTTTCCAAATGGTACACATGAGTGCATTAATAATTTGGTTACGATTTAATGTGCATGTTTGATAGTTTTAAAATAAGTTGCAATGCTTTGCTTATACATATTGATACTACGTACGGATAAACCTGGACAGAAAGGTTACTTAAACTTATTTTTTTAATAAATGTTATAAAGGTATATATGTTACAGGGAATATGTATAATCAGGGAATATGTATAATCCCTGAAATTTTCAGGGAATAAATTTAATGTCTGATTCACTTAGGGAATATACATAAGCCCTAAATTTTTCAGGTATTATACATATTCCCTGATTTATCATCAAGTTTTTTAGACATATTCCCTGAAATTACTTTTGAGGCTCTTATATGGTCAAACTTGATAAAAAAATATTTATGAGAAGACAAATTTATTTGACATGATAACAAATACCTTTCACTTAAAAACTAGTCTTCACTGTAATCAAAACAATGCTACATCAAACATAGGATAGACTTAACAAACAAGAACAATTTAGTTTTTGTTGACACATGTCAGATTTGAGTGGCACCTTGAGTTACAAAGCAGCTAAGCCTTGAAACATTTACATCTGTTGGTCTGACATTTCTTTGTACCAGCACAGTAACTTTAAAAGGTTAAGAAGTTAAGGACCATATTCTTTAATATTGCTCTAGTTAATCTGACATATGCGTATGAAACCGATGAAGCAGTTCAGTAGAAATCTCAATCACTTCCGATGGAATAAGGTTTCAAGTTGTCTCATTTCTTATGTTTTCCCGGGCAGGGGGGCTCCATTGGTGAAAGGCGGTTAAATTCGCTGTAGAGTCCGCTTGTCTCTCAGTATTACATTCATGCTCGTTGTTTTCCTTTTGGGTAAGTTTGGTGTTCTCCAGCTAGAAGCTCACGCACCGATATATCACTTAAATACTGTTCAAGCTCACCCTCATTTTAATGTCGACCAATTTTTGATAAAGCCATCTCCGTATGTTTGGGCCATCACTAGAAAAATAAGATGAACGCAATCCTGTCGTAGTTTGAACCGTCCGAATGACGTCATTTGACATTCTGCGCTCCCGCGACATGCCATTTTTGATTCTTTGTGGCACGTTCTAAAATAATCAGTTCTGACATGCGCACTTGTAGTTCATGCAATCCCGTGACCTCATCTTTAACATCTCCAGCTACAATAATGACGGTCCCTGCATTGTTAGAAAATGTCAGATTGTATCTAACTTTATCGTTTCGACGACTTGACGTTGCAGTGTCCATTATTGCGTTCCTTTCAGCTGACTCTATCACATAACAGGGTGGGAACAAGCCGCGACTTGCAGTGCAACAATGAACAAGTCGTTTTCTATTTTTCCCAGTCTCTTTCTATTTAGTCCTGGCTCCACTCAGTCTGTATGGCATCTTCGCCCCATACCCAGATTGTACACAATTCACCCAATCTCTGCTTCACACCAAGACGTAGACCAGTCTCCGCTTCATACCCAGATATTGCTGAGTGCGGCGTAAAACAACAAACCAACCAATCATACCCAGACTGTACACAATTCACCCAATCATTGCTTCACACCAAGACTGAACCCAATCTCCGCTCCATACAAGACTGAGCCCAATCTCCGCTCCATACAAGACTGAACCCAATCTCCGCTCCATACAAAACTGAACGCAATCTCCGCTCCACACCACGACTGAACCCAATCTCTGCTCAACACCAAGACTGAACCCAATCTCCGCTCCATACAAGACTGAACCCAATCTCCGCTTCACACCAAGACTGAACCCAATCTCCGCTCCCTACAAGACTGAACCCAATCTCCGCTCCATACAAGACTGAACCCAATCTCCGCTCCATACAAGACTGAACCCAATCTCCGCTCCACACCAAGACTGAACCCAATCTCCGCTCCATACAAGACTGAACCCAATCTCCGCTCCATACAAGACTGAACCCAATCTGCGCTTCATACCAAGGCTGTACACAATTCACCCAATCTCTGCTTCATACCAAGACTGAACCCAATCTCCGCTCCATATAAGACTGAACCCAATCTCCGCCCGTCACCAAAACTGAACCTTATCTCCGCTCCACACCAAGACTGAACCCAATATCCGCCCCATACCCAGACTGAACCCAATATCCGCCCCATACCCAGACTGAACCCAATCTCCGCTCCATACAAGAATGAACCCAATCTCCGCTCCACACCAAGACTGAACCCAATCTCCGCTCCATACAAGACTGAACCCAATCTTCGCCCCTCACCAAGACTAAATCGAATCTCCGCTCCATACAAGATTGAACCCAATCTCTGGGCATGCTCCACACCAAGACTAAACCCAATATCCGCTTCATACCAAAACATCTCAACTCATACTGTACTAAGACTGAACCATTAGTTAAAAGTGGAGTCAATTCCACTGGCAAATAAGGGACATCCAGACAAAATCTTTACTTTACAAATCCGCATGGTTTAATAAATATTCTGATATGGATTCCGAACTTTGTTGTTATGAATATTTCATAAATCATCGACAGAGCCGTCACTTAATGAACTCACCCTATGTTGGCAATAGCAACGGAAACTATATCGCTTCACTTTGCCACGTCATATGTATATTGCCGCTATCTGAAATGTCAAATCTTGTTTTCATCAGCAACACATGTATTTTAATATTCAATCCATTATCTGAAAACAATTACTGTACAGCACAAGCAGGTACAGGAACGAGACCGGATATTGCTCACCGGAAGTGAGTGACATCTGTTTTATTCCAGCTATAACCGGCTGTCGTAGTTTCATATCCTGTTTTATTAATTCACATTTATGCATGTACTACGATTCATGTTTTTCACAGCAGCATTAGGAGATTTCTTTCTTCAAAAAACATTTTTTCATAATATTTCAGAATTCTCGTTACCGTCGTCACATGTCCGTGATGTTAAAGTTATACAACGCGAGTTATCACATTTTTCTTGTGTTTTCTTCCCTAGGTGACACGTATAAGAAATAGGGGAACTAAATATGTCACATATCAACGCTCGGCTTTGCGAGACTTACGAGACTTTCTGAAGAACATCTGTAGGCTGATAAATTTGGTGACATTTTAACGTCCCGATATGAAGTCACGTGGTAAAGTTGCCAGGACTTGTTTTTGTGACCATCTACTCTTGGCATGACTAAAGAATTGTGGTTTTCAAGAAATGAATAACTTTGATATGACTTATGTTTTCTTGCTTAATCATCGTCACGACTGAAGATGAACTGGTGACATCATCGTGTGAATAAGATGTTTATCCGGCACTTGATTTTTTTCTGAAATGTTCATGATGATTTAACTGAGCATGATAGGGAGTCGCCATCACGAAGTGTGTCCTCCTACATCTTTCTCCATCACTTTGATCTGGATCATGTAGACTTTCTTGTAACGTGTCTAGGTAACGAAGGACCTCTGCTACATCTGATGGCATAATACTCTCTCTTGCTTTCTAGGAAAATATCCAAAAGGTCCGATGCGAGTCCCTAGTCTGGCATGTCTATATATTTATTCAATTCCAAAACAGGATGAGTATGTCGGGGCTCATTTCTATTACATATAAAAGACAATTTTTATATTTTACCATTTTCTTTTCTCGAAACCCATTTGTGTTGAAATAACATAATTCACATTATAATTGCATCTCTTTACTTATTTATTCACACAGCGTTCTGTTTCTCGAAACACGTCCGTAAAAGGTGACTATGCTTGTCGTAAAAGGCGACTAACGGGATAGGGTGGTCAGGTTCGCTGACTTGGTTGATGCATGTCATCGATCCCAATTGCGTGGATCGATGCTAATGATGTCAATCACTGGATTGTCTGGTCCAGACTCGATTATTTACAGACCGCCGTCATATAACTGGAATATTGGTGAGTGCGGCGTTAAACAACAAACCAACCAACCAACCACTCTAAGTATGTGCGAAAAACGTTTGTGTCGAACCGAGCCTAAGATCACAGTTGAATCTCTAAACGCCATGTTTCAATTTGAATTTGCCCATAATGTGCTTTTGATTATTAAATATTGCTCTTGAGAAGATAAATCTAGTAGACGCCTCGAAAATGTTGAAAACATTCTACGCCAAACTTCAAAGCGTTTGTCCAAGGATTTCGCTTTTGAAGTGTTACATTGAATGCAACATGAGAGAATGTTGGCACAGAGACCACTTTGCGCGGCTACATGAAACTGTCTGAGGCATGAAGGCGGACAGGTTTTGTGTAGCGACATGTCTTTTTAAATAGAAGGATGCCCCGAGCTTGTCTGCCGCCAGGCGGGAGATTGTTACATGGTTCAGCCGCCTTAACAATACCAGTTGCGTCTGAAGCAGGTTCTTTTACTATGAAAACCAGTACCTTGTACTCAGTGTCGTGTCATCTTTTTTTAAATTGTTAGGCTACCATGTGTCATCTAACTAATTCTAAAGTGTCATCTCGGGGGACATTTCAAAGTGTTTTTGGTCTTGAATAGTTTAATTTTGCAATTCTGCTTGTCGGACAAATTATGATAAAATTTTAATAAACCATAACGTTAAGAACAAATAAATACAAAAAAAATGAATAACAACTCAACCGCATCCCAACTCTTGAACCAAAGTTCAGTACACAGCCCCTATCAGGTGTATTGTCGTCGTGTTTATGCCGTCATCTGGTCGCCGTGCTGGTAACCGAGCCCCCTCAAAGAGATAACTGGTTTTCTGAACCAGCTGCGCACTTTCTATTTCGACCGAGAGCTAATTCCTCTCCTCAAATTATATCCTCTCAAAGATCCATCTTACGGCTTTTTTTTTGTTCAAATGAGAGTATCTTCAAATAAATGATCTACTCTCGTACTCAATCTGGTTGTTCATGATGCAGAAAATACAGACGCACTTCATGGCTTCAGTGGCTGGACTGGCGCAGGTGCGTTCTGTTGCATTTCTCGAAAGAGCGGACGAGACAGAATCTTGACACATGTGTCAACCGATTGACACAGTTTGTGCATCTGGGTGCAGACACACGTACAGGGACAGTGAGGTAACATTTGTTGACCAGACAGGGAAAAGTGTTGAATAGCGTGAATTAAGAGCACTAGACTGCTCCAACATGAACCAACTGAGAGCAATTGGACGATGGTCTGGCAAAACTGGACAGTATACATCCATCTTTCCGAGGTTGATCTTTTTGTTGACCATCCTTGAAGTACGATCGACGCTCAAGCATTTTCCTAATCGGTGAATTCTATTCCATTTCCTCGGAAATTCTGTCCAACGACAACCTAGGTTCAACTAAACGCAGCCACACTGTCGAGGAAAGGACGGTTTTATTATGGGAATTATTGAATAAATTCCACATACAGTGTCGGACAAAAGAAGTATAGCCTTAAAGATTGGATTTGACCAAAAATAACAAACGTTACTAGACTGAAAACAGTCGCCGAAACACTGCAAACTTAAGGTCCAAAATGCAATTAAGATACCAGTAGCAAACACATCACCATAGAATAATTACTGCTGATTTGTATCATTGTATACAATCATTAAAAATGGGTGTATACTTTCTTTTGCCCGGCAGTTTCATTTCCCAGGAGTCCCAACAAGAGAGGATTTCTGTCCAAGGACAGACTAGGTTCAACTACACGCAGATACACTGTCGAGGGAAGGATGATTCCATTTCGGGGATTATTAAATAATCAATATTGATTCGTGGCAGCACAAATTCGAATACAAAATATGGAAGCCATTGCATTTTAGAGATCGCAAATTACATGTATTTAAGTCACCAATTTTATCGATATAAAATATAATCGGGTTTGTTAAATAAACAAATATTTGTGACATTTATTGTTAATTAATATTAATAATAACTCGAAATTACCCGGCAATTACAGTTACTGATATAATAACATCAATAATGAACAACTTAAAATATGGAATGAATATAAAACGGCGCCTCGTGGGCACACCCATTTCTTCAACGACTAGCCTGTTCAGTCTGGGCCAGTGTGAAACAAGGCACGTCCTTATCTCTTTGGATAATTACTTGTAGCAATAGATAACGAGATCATCGTACAAGACGGAGAAATCTCCATAGTCAGTAATTCAATCACAGTCCATATGACTGACTGGTTGGTTGGTTGGTTTGTTGTTTAACGCCGCACTCAGCAATATCCCAGCTATATGACGGCGGTCTGTAAAAAATCAAGTCTGGACCAGACAATCCAGTGATTGATATCATGAGCATCCATTCACGCAATTGGGATAGATGACATGCATCAACCAGGTCAGCGAGCCTGACCACCCGATCCCGTCGGTCGCCTTTTATGACAAGCATAGTCACCTTTTACGGCAAGCATGGGTTGCTGAAGACCTGTTCTACCCCGGAATCTTCACGGGTCCCATATGACTGAGATGAAACCTTCCATGTACGTTTGTGTAAACAATAAATATTGATATTATTTCTAGTACATTTGTATTTCATACAGTGTGTATATTATGAATTTCTCCTCCACAGAGCAAAAGGAGGGTGGCACCCAGCTGAAGCTTATCATGACCTACTCTGACGAGGGACAGGCGTTATTCAAACCGAGAAGGTAAGGAGAGAGAAATTTATAGAAGCGCCATAAAATCCCTTTAGTGAGGGTGTGTGCGCGGCGTGGACAGATATTGTACGACACCTCTTTAGGCTTATGGATAAGACTAATTTGTCGATAAAACCTCCGAATTTTGTGAACAGTGACTGGGTTGTTTGAAATAAGAAGTTGCTTGAAAAATGTCTAGCTAAATAATCGCCTTATAGGATTTTCACTATCTGAAACACCCTTCCTCATATATAAAGTCCTCACATACTTGTAATTATTTGTACTGAAGACTTAATCAAACTCATCCACCTCAGATACAGTTTGTTTGATTGTTTGTTGTTTTACGCCGCACTCAGCAATATTCCAGCTATATGACGGCGGTCGTTAACTAATCGAGTCTGGACAAGACAATCTAGTGATTGACATACCATACATATATCTACGCAATTGGGATACGATGACATGCATTCACCAAGTCAGCGATCTGGATCCGCCTCTTAGGACAAGCATGGGTTGATGAAGACCAGTTCTAACCCAGATCTTCACGTGTTTTCAGTCCAGTAATGTAATATGTTACCAAGCAATCACGTGACAGCAATCACGTGACAGCAAAATCTCGAAACGATGTCGAGTTATCACCAGTTGGAGACAAGCGGAGTGGCGATTTACGACTAAAGTACTGAAAAGGACTATGTCAGGGCCATGGACGCTATCTCATCTTAGAAACCGCCGGGTAAAAGAAAGTATACGCCCATGTTTTGTGGTGGTTAAAAATGAAACAAATAAGAAATGGGAATTCGATGGCGATTTACTTGAAACGGGTACATAGTTGTGATTTGGACCTTACGTTGGCATTATATCGGCGTTTGTAACTTTTTGGTCAAATCCAATTTGGAAGTGTATACTTTCTTTTGCATGAAGGTTCAGGATAATTTTCGTAATATATATATCTCTACGGTACTTTCAATATTCAAACAATCACCCATGAGTCGGACACCTCTAACTGTGTCTACACAGAGAGGTGAACTACTTCTACTACTACTACTACTACTACTACTACTACTACTACTACAACTACTACTACTGTAATGCGCCGTGCTCACAGCGCTACATTATATTATTACCCTGGTCAATGCTCTCATTTTAAATTCATCTCCCTGGGAAATAAACACAAGCCAAGGTGCCCCGGGTATTCCCTGCTGGCTGAGGACCGCCTCCGTGGTAGTGATAGAGCGTCCGCCCGGAGAGGGAATACCGGGGTTTGAGCCCCGGCCGCGTAATACCAAAAGACGTTAAAAGATGGCACCCTGTCTGGCGCTCGGCATTAAGGGGCTAAAACAAGGACTGGTCGGCTGGGAGTCAGTATACTGTGTCAGAGTGGGGTATTCATGTTAAACTGCGGCATGGTATCTCAGTAGGCTAGCACTATAAATCGGCATCAGTCCGGACTAGTACAAGCAGCCAAACACACACACGCACGTGCATGCACGTCGCTATATAAGTGCAATGATGTTGGACACGACGTTAAACCCATTTAACCTCACCTTCGCTGCTGGCCGAAAATTCGCCGATTTGTGACCCATGGGCTGGACACAGGACACACAATCAGGACAATCGGTGTGACGTATGTTCAACACAAATGGACAGACTCGTGTCCAAGCCCCTATCGCTGAACTAACATCTGACTTTTTCTCATGCAGGTTTCCACGGACATATGAGACGCCTCCGGACCATTTCTACTTTGTGGACTTTGAGCGCCATAACGCTGAGATAGCTGCCTTCAATTTAGACAGGTGTGTCCACAACGTGATTGACAGATTGCCATCATAAACTAATAAACTCTGAGTGAACTAATAGTTCATTTTGTAGTGACAGCATAATGGTCCAGACTTAACACGTGACCTGTCACCTAAACCAGCTCGGTATTTGATGAAAATTGTAATTTGTTACAAGCAGTGTTCGCCAAGGTGATTGTTTTTGTCAGGTGACATTTATGTCGTTTATCAACAAGACAGTGGAAAGTCACAAGTCTGAAGCCTCTCGCAGTTCCAGAGTCCTCGAATTTTACTTCGTCAGCAAAGCTATACAACATATAAGTTACTTTAAGTCACTTCTACTACCACTACTACTTGTACAACTGCCTCCGTGGTCTAGTGGTAGAGCACCGCCTCCGTGGTCTACTGGTAGAGCGTCCGCCCGGAGAGCGGAAGGTCCGGGGTTCGATCCCCGACCGCGTCATACAAAAAACGTTAAAAGATGGTACTTGTTGTTACCCTGTCTGGCGCTCGGCATTAAGGGGCTACAAGGACTGGTCGGCTCGGAGTCAGTATATTGTGTCTGAGTGGGGTATTCATGTTAAACTGCGGCATGGTATCTCAGTGAGCTAGCACTATAAATCGGCATCAGACCGGACTAGTACAAGCAGCCACACAAACACACACACGTACATGCACGTCGCTATATAAGTGCAATAATCTTGGACGCGACGTAAAACCCCATTTCACCTCACCTCACCTCTAGTGGTAGAGCGTCTGCCTAGAGAGCGGAAGATCGTGTACAACCCCCAGCACCATCATACATACAAAAGACGTTAAATTATGGCTCTTGTTGTTACCCTGCCTGGGGATAAACAAGGACTAGTGGGATCGGAGTCCACTATGTCGGAGTGGGTATCACTTAAACCCCATTTCACCTCACCACCCAAGGTGTACAAGTGACGGTGTTGTAATCCAACTCACAATTTCCGTAGTTGCATCTGCAAGGTTAATCATATTTGTTTGCTGTTTGTTTGTTTGTTTGTTGTTTAACGCCGCACTCAACAATATTCGAGCTATATGACGGCGGTCTGTTAATGACCGAGTCTGGACCAGACAACCCAGTGTTTGACATCATGAGCATCGATCCACGCAATTGGGATCGATGACATGCAGCAACCAAGTCAGCGAGCCTGACCACCCGATCCCGTTAGTCGCCTCTTACGACAAGCATAGTCGCCTTTTACGGCAAGCATGGGTTGCTGAAGACCTATTCTGACCCGGATCATCGCGGGTTAATCATAAATAAGGCATTCCACAATTGTATACCAACAGCAATAATCGCATACTGGATACATGGAAGACACACGTTAATAATATTGTTGACATAACGTATATCGCCCAAAGCAAATGTTGACAAGATAAATTGTTTGTCCTTTGACACAAGAAACAGGTATAGAAGTAAGTAAAATAAATTAAACAAAGCTCTTCTTTCAGGCAAGTCGACTGATGCATGTGAAAGAATGTTAACCAAAACCATGTGACACATAAATCAACTGACTGAAATACACGAGAAAAGTGGTGACCCTCTTTCTACAGGTGCATGAACTTGATATCGAAGTGGCTCATTTAAAATATGATTGTGTCGCTTCAGGCTGCTAGGTTTTCACCGAGTGCCCCCGACGGCCGGTCGCAAGATCAACATGACCCACGACATCAAACGCTTCGCTGACCACAAACTGGTCAAGACCTTCTTCTATTCCCCAGGTGAGATTCTTGTAATGCGGTAATCAGTTTGTTGGAATAATGCCACTCAGGCCCTTAACTCACCCTCGCCAGCCTTGGAAGGAGCCCATGCCAGACTGACGAGTTCACGTGACCATCACATCGGACAACATACTTTGTTACGCGATACTATATGGTGTACTACTACCTAACGTCTTTAATTTCAGTAATCGACTCTGGACCAGACAAACCAGTGATTGATACCATGAGTAACGATCCATACCATCTGAGTACGGTGACACGTTTTATACTGACCTGTCCATCAATCACGGAATAAGACCACTTCGACTCTTGGACGATTCATTTAGACTTACCAATATCCAAGTTCCACCATATTTCTTGTGAATGTGGATCACAATACTACAGTAAACTACGGTTATGGCGAACTCAAAGGGACCACAAATTCTTGTTCGTTATAACCGTAATTCATATATAAGCATATATACAGCATATATATAGCAAATGTCAGGGACCTAAAAACCAATTCGTTATATCCGCCGGTTCGTTATAAGCGTGTTCGTTATAACCGTAGTTTACTGTATAATTATTCTTTTGGGTCCAAGAAAATAGTTCCCAAGAAAGATGTTCCTGATGTGATGTGAGATGTGACTATACCAATGGCTCTGTTTCAGCGGGCAACGTGTGTTTCCACGGCACGTGTTCCTACTACTGTGACACGACCCACGCCATCTGCGGCAACCCAGACACCTCGGAGGCGTCGCTCGCAACATTCCTTCCGCCAGAAAAAATAGCACCAAGAAAAACATGGCGGAACCCATGGAAACGGTCGTACAGCAAGCACCGCAAAGCATACTGGGAAGTTTACGATGATTTGTGCGACAAGGTGAGGAGTCGCCCTCCCTACAACTCTGGTCGTCGGCTCCTGGATCTCATGGATATAACAGTGTTCGACTTTCTGACAGGTACAGTGAACATGTCCAATCTTACACTCACTTGAAGTCAAATTCTGTAAAATATAATGGAATGAGTGAGGTTTTCGCCTAATGCTGGGACGAGTCCAAATTAATTACCCGGGTACCCGACCCCCAATTACCCGACCCTACCCGGGTACCCACTGCACGTCTCAAGAGTTGGGAACACAATGTCTGATTGGTAATTGTTTTACCGCAGGTCTGGCTAAGACTATTTAGATACATGTATCAAACAATCAGATCATGCGTTCACTGAAATTAACTGAAGCATTATCTTTACTCAAACATATACAAGTCAAAAGGAATGTGTGCATCGTCAGAAAGAAATGCGAACATTCGCGACTTGTAGTGTAACCACTGAGCTATAGTAAGCTTTTGTCATTAAACAATATATCTCGTGACTTACCACGGGTCCGGGTAGTCCTGTGAGTACCCGGTTCTTACTCAGGACCCACCCGATCCGAGTACCCGAGTTACCCGTCCCAGACCTATTAAATTTCGCCGCTGTGAACAAAAATTCATTTATATCCGCTTGGTGTGGGAGGAAAGCCCCACGTGATGCAAGTCACATTTATCACTTTGGTGAAACCATGATCATAGGTTCCTGCGATACCCATGGGACGCAACTCTGCACAGCGTATTGCGGCGCGTTTGACGTCTGGGGCCCAAGTTGTCAACCGCGTGTTTGATTAGTTATGTATAAATCACGGACATAAAGATTTGTCTTTCTTTACTATGGGTAGAATGTACATTAAGCCGAATCCTTATTGTGGACTGTTGTTAAATGAGCTACTGTGTGCTGGTTGTATTACTATATCGCCATCCAAGGGCAACTTGCACCAGAACAATTGCTTCGTTGTGGGCTTTGCTCGGATGGCAAATTACTGGTGCGAGGTATAGGACACAGAAATGATAATATTTTTTAAATGGTTACCAGGCAACATGGACAGGCATCATTATGAGACGTTTCTGGACTTCGGCAATGAGACTTTCCTCATGCACCTTGACAATGGGAGATCGTAAGTAGAAATAAGAATGAAACTTTGCTATCACTTCTTGAGGATAAAACATTTGTTGTTTATAACAGAATATTGTCTATATTACGCACTCCTAGAAACACATGAATGATGTGGTAAATATGACTTTTCTTTATGACATGGTACCGGTGAAGATCCGGGGTAGAAGAGGTCTTCAGCAACCCATGCTTGCCGTAAAAAGCGTCTATGATTGTCGTAAGAGGCGACTAACGGGATTGGGTGGTCAGGCTGCTGACTTGGTTGATGCATGTCATCGTATTCCAGTTGTGTAGATCGATGCTCATGATGTCAATCACTGGATTATCTGGTCCAGATTCGATTATTTACCGACCGCCGTCATACAGCTGGAATAGTGCTGAGTGTGGCAAACAATCAAAATATATTCAACCATCACTCCATACTCCACTCCAGGTTCGGGAAGACGAAGCACGATGAGATGTCCATCCTAGCTCCCATCAGCCAGTGCTGTTTGATCCGCCATTCCACCTTCATTAAACTAGTGAAGCTGTACCGAGGCCCCGAGAGTCTGAGCACTGTGATGAGGCGAGTGCTAGCAGTAGACATGATTAGCCCCGTTCTCCTTGACCCCTTCCTGGACTCGCTGGACAGAAGGGTCATGAAGGTCCTTCAAATGGTCATGGACTGTGTCAACCGACGTGGTCAACCGTACAAGTCCGTCATCGTCGATGACTTCTTCTAATGTGGATGAACGAATTATCAAAAAGGTTCAAAGAAGATGTTCCCTTGAGCAAGGTGTATCAAAATGGTTTCTAAACATTCTAGACAAACATATCAGACCAAACACCTTCAGGATCACTATTTGTCCCTACGGAGGGCATACTTCGTGTGGCCAGGCAACTAACCTGTGCATTAATCATGGACAATGGCCACTTCTTCAACTTTGGGACAATTCATTTCAACTTGGATATATACCATTGATCAAGGGATCATTTTAATTCAGTCCAGTCAAGTGTTCAACTCATGTTATGCTTTCTTTTACAGTGTAAACTATGAAAGTCTAGTAAGATGATATTAATATCATATTATTATCTGAAATGAGTCAGAACTACGAATCAAGCGCTGATCTCCCTGAAGAGAAACATTGACTCGTGGAGATGAGCCGCTAGTTCGCAGAAGCTACAGTAAAATCCTTCTTTGTGCCGAAGGACTGTCACTCTTTCTTTCAAAATCCAAAGGACTTCGGCAGCCATTCTGTGATCTTAAAAAAACTGTCTTCTGTGACTTCGTGAACAACGACGTATCTACGTATGTGTTCCTATGTGTAACGGACTCTCGCGGTCTCAGTTGTTCAATCAACAAATGGTTGTGGCCGTTTGGCGTCTCTCTGTGTCTGTGTTTGTGGTGTCCAGTGGATCCTCAGAAATCTATGGTTAAAAGAAACTGTTCTCTTGCAGTGGTGTAGAGACAAAATCACCGAGTATCTATGTCATGATATCTACGTTCTATTGTGATCAGTTCCAAGGACTCATTCGCCTCCATAGCCTGGTCGCGGAAGTGACGTCACTATCTCAATCGCTACTCTCACTCATTTAGCACATACTTTCTCTCGCTTCTGATTGTAATTTGATTGGACGGTTATGTTAACGTCATGCTATGCGAATTAAACCCAAATCAAAGCTGTGGTGGCGAATGAATCCAGGGTATCTATCATAATAGAATGGAGATATAATACTCTGGATAAACGAGGATGATATAACATTGACGTAGTCCGTATAAAATTCAGAGTAGAGGAACCAAAGTAAGCGTACTACAGAATCATCAATAATTCATGTGCCAGTGAAACTGTAAAGAAACCAAACAACTTAAATCTGTTTATCTTCCGGTGAGAACTGTAGCATGTAACATGTAACATGTAACAAGTCACAATCCGGTGAAAATTCAGCTGGACCTCATCCCAAATTGACCACAATTTAATAATTGAATCAAAATGGCAAAGTGTGTGCTATCAAATGTCACCATATTTGGAAACACGATCTTGTTCAGTTGTAAACGGTGTATTCCATTTTGTAGCACCCGGACCAGTCTCTTTCAGCTGACGCGTCCAGACAACTTCCACGAAAAAAAACCTGTTTTCTTCCGTTGCTTTAATAATTGTTACCGGAAGTTAACTCAACACTCCGATTTCATCGTCAGTCATTCGTCACAACTCGGCCCGGAATGACGTCTTGAATGCTTCAGTCTCTACTTCGTGTGATGGTCTTGTTCGTGATGAAACCTTGGGAAAACTGCTGAATGTATTGTCAATAATTGACTCTCTGGCTTAAATGTCTCGTACCTTAATGTATATGGTTAATGAATTCCTGTGTTTTCTGAATCATCAAAAATTGGTTATTACTGGTTGTTGAATACAGTGAAACCTCAATACCTCGAACTCGACAACTGGACATATCCTTGATGACAATGTTATTTTATGGTGCTGACTGAATCCTTATCGGCACTATGAAGTAACATATTCACTTCAAACTACCTAGATATATATAGATATAGATTTGGAGTTCCCCAGGATTTCGAGATATGGAGATGTCATTGTATTGACATTTATTGAGGGAAGTGCTGTGGGCTATGGTTGGGTTTAACTCTGATGTTACTGGTGTCTTTATTTGGAAATTATTTAATCAGGGTTCTGTCTCTACGTATAAATCTTCTATTTTCGTCTATTTTTAAACCATTAATCTATTTTAATGCTATAACTGATGGGAATTCGCATATAGTGTGGAATATGTCAAGCTCAGGTCTCAATCATTAGACGAAGGGTAAATTTTTTTTAAAAAAAATCAGTATTTTTACTCGTATAATTAAAGCTTGGAACTGTTGATTGCACATTTCTATTTAAAAAGAAAATGTGATTAAGTGTTTAAGACTATATCAACAGTGTCCTTATGAACGCACTACATTTATTGTTGCATTTATGTTATTTAAGTGTACACTAAGAGCTTAGATATGAATTTGCCATTAGGGGTAAACGTATTTTTATTGGGCAATTATTGATCGCTTGGGCGAGGGACATCAATGCATTTCAACTAAAGATAACGAGAACCTTAATTTGGCATGTTCAATTCAATATTACCATATCCAACTGAAAGTGATTAGTTCATTTGTACGGAAGCCCATCAGGACCATGTCATGTTAGTATTATCTTGACAATTCAAGGTAGTAACTTGAAAATTAAGTTCAAAATTCTTAACTTGTTATCTTGAAAACGCAAGTTATAAAATTGAAAATTATCTTATACTATCTGGAAAAATCAAGTTATTAAGTGAAGAATTCAAGATGTACTGCAATCAACAAATGAAGTTCCCAAGGCTTCATTTTGTGCTCTGAGCTGTTACTGTTGACAGACAAGAACTTTTTTTCAAGATAATTTATTTTAATTTTGTGGCCCTAATGAGTTTCCGTACATTTGACAGTAAAATTGGTTTCATTATTTTGTAATGTGTCATGCAGTGGCTGCAATGGTTGATAATTGATTGAATGTGTTTATAAGACTTACCCGCAATGTTTCATAGACTGTCAGCAAAAGAAGTGGTTATTTCATTTCATTTCTATGGTAACATTGACACGTGATACATGTCAGTATCATATGTCAATCACGGCGACCGTGGGACATTATCGCAGTGTGTATGTGCTGTCTCCATGTGCCTACGGATAAAATGCATATATATTTTGTGAAATATTTTCCTAGACGTGTAAATGATTGTAAGAAGCGGTCGACGTGCAAACACGTGGTGCACACATTGTACGGCAATCATCTGTGATATTAGACCTGCAAGACGTGTTTGTTGTACATATATTTATATACATTCCTTGAACATGCATAGAGGTCGTCTTTACTGTGCGAAATAGCGGAATATGATGAAAGTGTTGGGGTTGAGAATTAAGCTGTTGAAATGTATGTACACGTTCAATTCTGTTTCAACAATCTCCCAGTGCTGCTGTTGAAATTTATATTGTACTATTTCGTACAGTATTACAATTTTACATAGTCATCTTGTGAATTGATTGGAATTGTGTGACAAATATTGCTGAGAAAACTTACTTAAGGAATTTCATATTTCATTTTTGCTGATGCATTTTGCAACAACTTTGTATTATATGAACTAAATTTAAATTTGGCTGTTCTCTAAGAACTGTTCAAATGCCTTTTACAATTTTTATTTTTAGGACATGCTTTAACGAATAAATTTGACTTTGCCGTTTTAGAAATACATATCGAATAATCATGCTATTTTTGTCATTTTTAGGACATACTTTAACGAATAAATTTGATTTTTTCACTCTTAAAAATACGTATCGAAAAATAATGCCATTGGCAAATTTCATTTTTGTGTTATGATTTAGTAATTCGTATTATATGAATTATTTTATTATATGAATTTATTTTATGACATTATTTTATAATATTGACCTAAGAAGCCATAAACCAAGTGACAGTGAGCACAGGCTTCAGTTAAACCGAATTGTAATAGAGAGTGTTTGACACACACTTCCTGTCACGTAAGAGTATGGAAGGCCAGTTCTGTAAAATGTGATGGCTTTAGTGAGCGCAGTAATGCATTGTTCACTTAATGCATGAGTGGTAAGAAATACCCTTCACGTGTTGACTAGTATAAATGTCCTATAGCTATGAACACGCAGGGGCGTCTATGGTATCATAATGTACGGACGGCCAGATGTAATACATTTGACCATTGGCAATATCAATAGGTGACCGTTACTGGTCAGTATTAGGGAAAACAATGGTTGGCTGACGTGGTCATCAAGGTTAATATGGCGATCATTCCAGTCATCTCATGTAATAAAAAATTCAAATAAATGTATTTTTGTTTTTTTATTTAATATATCTTTTCGTGAGGAAGCACACCGTCAACACTTCGCGGGTTTGTGAACACGACGTGCCTCAATCATCTGTGAATAATCTGGCCGCTTTGCAGATTTGTATCCAAGGAATCAAGCGACAGTCGTTACAACGATAGAAACGTCATTAATATACTTCCCTATCAGACTGATGAGATCTGATTGGTCCACATGATCTTGATGAAATACTGTGTAACCCGCCATGGAGGGTAATAAATTTCTCAGCGGGGGATTAAAGGTCTTATACCCCGCCAGGTACACTGCACGCTGCACGTGGATTTCTGAGAGGCAGAATATATCCTTATACCCTGCTTCGATGCAAAAAAGAAAGCCGCACGCTTTTCCCGAGCAAATGAAGTCACGTGACACAGCACAAGTTAACCTCAGCTTAAAAGTCACATTTTACTAGGTCCGGCTATAATGTTTTACAACTTATAATGTTACCCGCTTGACAGCGTGTACAACGTGTGTCATGGCCTTCTGGTTGACTGGGGCAATGGGTGGTCCAGTCGTCTAAGGCGCCGCGATTCGCTGTGCAGAGTTGCGTCCCTTGGGCACTCCAGAAACCTATGATTGTGGGTTCGAATCCCGGTTCGCCCCGATTATGTTTCTAGGTTTGTCAGCACCATACCCGTGCTCGTGGGTTTCACCGAGGTGGTAAACGTCTGAGACCTGCATCATTTCGGGCTTTCCTCCCACAGCAAGCTGACACGCCGTGATATAACTGGAATACTGTTAAAAGCGGCGTTAAACCCAATTCACTCACTCACTCACTCACTCACTCCGGTGGACTATTCTACAAGCTGCTTCAGTGCCAGGCTATGGCGTTGTTTATACAAACTTGGAGTATGGCTCATTTGACTTTCATGAGTTATAAACGGACACATTTCATTAGCTTACAATAAACACTCGTCACTACCCTATGTGTTCACGTGTAATGGAAAACGTTGTGTATGCAAGACCGTGAAATACTGAACATGGATGAAACCAGGGGGGTTTAAGGCGCAACAATTCGCTGTGCATAGTATAGTAAGTCCATGGATGTGTAGTAATTCTATCCTCCTAATAAGCAAGTCTAGATATGTGGACAGCAAAGACAAAGGACTCCAGTCTCTTACTGGGACAACATGTTTTTATTATTTACATAATCTAGAAATTATTATTTGAACCAGTAATTACTGCCTTAGAGACTTGTGCAAGTCTATGCATAGTACAGGTATGCATAATACAGTTCCGTTAGTCGTTGGTTCAGGTGCCCTGAGATTTATATTGGCTTGTCAGCATAATGTGTAATTGTACCCGAGACGTTCAGTGAGTGAATGTTTCTTAACACCAAAGTCAGCAATATTATAGCTATATCACCACCTGTTAATAATCGAGTCTGGACCAGACAAACCAGTGACTGAAGGCATGAACATCGTTCCTTGCCCTCGGGGCCCGGTAACACACGAACAGTCTAGTCGACCTTCTGTGATCTACCCGATTTTTGAGGTTCTCGATTTCGCTACAAACTCATTTGTACACCTACCTCTAGACATGCAAAATATCTTAAATATGGCGCACAAAATACGCCAGGTTTGGGGAAACATTGGCGGCTGCTGTTTCTTAGATGTTTTCTTCGAGAATGTCATAGTGCAGCGTTTTTCAAATTGTCTAGAATTAATTGCTATTATTATTATTTATTTATTATTATTATTATTAACGTTATTTTCCTCTTTCAACAAATATTTCAAGAGGGGTAGTCATCTCCTCAAAACGCATTGACTTCTTTATTGCCAATTAACACAACGCTATTTCAGCTCACCAATGGCGGGTAAACGTTTGTCCGCTTCTTTCTACCTAGACTGATATTCAGACCCAGAAATAAAGATGAAAATATATATCTACACAATAACAATAATATAAACCAAATGGAGCCCAGAACAATTAATAAATTCAGGAGCTGAGGCAAATCTAGACTAATCAAATCATTCTAGACTTGAGTTGGACACTTTTTTTAAACTTTCTACGATAAACTGGTGCCATAAACTATTGGTGAAAGCAGCGAAAAACAAGGAAACTCAATCTTTTATAAATTTTAACCCCTCTATTAGGAAAGTCTATAGTAGAATCCGGGACAGCTGTCAGGTAACGCAATTCACTTTGCAGAGTTGCGTCCCCTACCCGTGCCACGATCCGCTAATCCAGAGTCACTCCAACTATGATCTTCATGTGTGTTGATGTGTGTTATAAAAAAGGTATTATTTTCTGGTTCATGTCACTGGGGTCCATGCATAAATTTCAAAAAGTGGGATTTGAACACGATTATCCACGCAAGAAAAAACACCTCATGATTTCAGTCACTTGATTGTCTGGTCCGCCATATAGCTTTTATGAGAGCGGCGTTAAACAAACAAACGAAACCCCAACAACTTTTATATGCCTATTTACGATATTTCCCGCGCCGAACATGCCCATTGTACCCGTGGTTCTCGTGAAGTGTTGCTTTTCTGTATTGGAATTTATAGATTATGCAATTGGTCGTTGCTGCTTTTTGAGTCCAACAAGTTCACATATTTGGCACGTAGTGACATATTTATGCTAAACATATCATTCATGTGCTGTGTCTCAAATATCACGTATGCATTTCTTTTTTTGATGAGTATGTTCTTTCCCACATGTGACAATCATCACGAGAATATCTCCATGCCACGTTGAAAGGGTTAACAGGAGCCATTAGAGGAGATAGGAAGTGACTGCCGACCTACTTCATTATTTCACGTAAATAAGACACAAATCCCTAGCCGTGATCGTTTGCCAGATGTGTGTGGGCACAGAACCTATGGAGGCTCGTTTTAGGCTGTCATGTTAACTTGTCGCGTGGAGGTGTGATGTCGGGCTTCGCTGATTTACCTCGTCAGATGGATGTATAGAGGCTTATCAGTAGTCTTAGTGCGTCATCTTTGTTTTAGCCCCTGAAGTGCGAGGATGATACAGCTAAAGCTCACTTAGTTTTATTTTGTTGTATTGAAACGTCGAATTAAGCTGGAGATTCGGGGTCGTTAGTCAAACTTCGTGTCCTGAGTACACGGAAGAACAAATGCTGTTTAACGGCGCACTTTTTAAACAAATGACCTCTTTGGTCTAGTGGTAGAGCGTCTGCCCTGAGCGTGGAAGGTCGGGGGTTCGATACCCGGCCGCATCATGCCAAAAGACGTCAAACGATGACACTTGTTGTTACCCTGCCTGGCGCTCGGCATTAAGGGGCTAATACAAGGACTGATCGGCTCGGAGTTAACACACACGCACGCACGCACGCACGCACGCACGCACGCACGCACGCACGCACACATCTGACAAGCATATCTGATTACGAATGCAAAATAGGAAAGCCGCGTAATTATATTTTTCGGCTGTTCTCTACATCCTTTCATTTCTGATCGCCCTGCCATCTCCCTTGGAGATGTCGGCAGATCTACACACAGAGAGTGAGTAAGTATAGTTTTACGCCGCTTTTAGCAATATTCCAGCAATATCACGGCAGGGGACACCAGAAAATGGGCTTCACACATTGTACCCATGTCGGCAATCGAACCCGTCTTCGGCGTGACGAGCGAACGCTTTAACCACTAGGCTACCCGACCGCCCCTACACACAGAGAGGTGTCGTATCAAAGTAAAAGATCAGCTTTTAATGCGATTTCAATTTGTCAAGTCCGTGATTTACATTTTTTTAGAAAAAACACCCTTGAAATAAACTGCATGATATTACAAACAGAGATCTGAACACGATAAGAACAACGGTGGCACATTTTCCCAGTCATGATAATACATATTTCAAAATGTAGAACATGACTTCGTGGGCGTGTCAGACAACACTTTAGTCTTAATCCCATCGACCAGAATCCACCACAGCAGTTTATGGTTTATTTGATAATTCTGTAATAAACATATTCCATAAATAAGCCGAATTCTATTAACTGTATTGCACATTTCTGGGTAATACAGTAAAGTACGTTTATAACGAACACGCTTATAACGAGGGATATAACGTACTGTGTTTTGGTCCCGGGCATTTGCTGTATATATCCTGTATATTTTTATAATGTACTACGGTTATAATTACTGGTCCTTTTGAGTTCGTTATAACCGTAGTTTACTGTATATTGTTCGGTGATCGATACAATTGTGGACTTTATTTTATTTTGCGAAGAACGACACATGAAAAAAACATGGAAAAAGGACGCCCACAATAGACAATGATATGTTTTATAACCATGAACGCAGAAAGATTTACATTTGTTTTGATGGAACAGTCTACATCTGAGATACGATTGGTGGTCTCGCAGCCAGAGGGAGGCTAGTGGAACTGCGACTGTGACTCCTGTTACAGCCGAGATCGGTACCGTCGACAACGGTTTTGTGATTGTAAAACATTTTCTTAAATGCTCCCCTGAAGTTGCGGTTGTAGATGGCGTAGAGAACGACGTTGTATGCCGTGCTGAACGACGCTAAGGATATTTTGATCATGTTTATAGGGCCACCCACAAACATATGATCGTCTCTACCCGATATTTTCTGAAATATTAAAACAAACCGTTAACTTGCTGATGATAAAATGAAAGGACTCACTGTAAATGATTTTAAAAAATTAAAGACAACATGACTAGTCATGTATGAATACAATTATCTTTTTATCACGTGTCTGAATGTCCAACATCTTCTCAACAAATTATTGTCGAAATTATAAAGGTTCACGTGGTTATAAAACATTCAGGTTGATAAACGCCCCTGATAACATCTAGAAATCTCATTTTATGGAACATCCCGATTATCTGCCGGAACAGATTCCATTGGGTTGGTTGGTTTGTTGTTTAATGCCGCACTCAGCAATATTCAAGCTATATGACGGCGGTCTGTAAATAATCGAGTCTGGACCAGACAATCCAGTGATTAATATCATGAGCATCGATCCACGCAATTGGGATCGATGACATGCATCAACCAAGTCAGCGCGCCTGACCACATGATCCCGTTAGTCGCCTTTTACGACAAACATAGTCACCTTTTACGGCAAGCATGGGTTCCTGAAGACCTATTCTACCCCGGAATCTTCACGGGTCTCCATTGGGCGTAAACGGCAAAATAGTGGTGGACATTGTGTGAATGGATCAGCGATGGCACCAGATGTTAGTGAAAGGTCGGTATGTCCTGAACACAACACAACTTCCAAAAACATTTCTGAAACGTTGGTTCATTTCAATGATTCTGAATTTCCATCATGTGGGTCCTAAAGTAAAGGGTGCTTATAATACCTTGTCCTCTTTTGGTCAATATGGATAAAACGTCCACGCCAGAGAATAATCAGTCTCGATGATCTTGCCTTTACAGGTTTCCAAGAAAGTTTTCTTTATATGGGAAACACCTCAACGATCTGTTTCTTAATTGAAGGATTGTACCATACTTACAGTTCCCTATCATACAAGAAGTCACCATAAATTGTCAGAGGGTAATTGTTTGGTCTTGAAACAAGACATCGTTTATTACTCTTGGCTCCTCTGTCGCACGCCAATCCAACAACAAAGGCGAAGAGCGTATGCCCATGACAGGCAATCAGAAATAATGCGGTACCCGCATGTTAGACATAATGTGAAGGATGCCTGAATTGCATGGTATTTTCTCATGAAGACGGGGAAGTCAGAATAAGATGTGACTTCTTAAAGGAAAGCAATACGCGATCGTTAGTTTAGGTCGATTTCTGGAGAAATATCGTGAGGGCAATAAGGGAGTTATCCCTTGAGGCTCAGTTGTGCAACGATACCCAGCTTATTAACTCGCCATAGAACACTCGGCAATAAACGGTATTTCAGTTATATGTAAATGTTGGAGGCAGCCTGAGGCGATGCAGGTCGCAGACATTTGCACTTTGGGCAAACCAACCAGCATAATACTGCACGATACCAGAATCATTCTAACGAACCAATGCTCATAACAGAGGCGAATCTTTAAACTCCCGATCAGCGGATCCTACATGACTAAGGAAGGCAACTCTTCAAGTAGAATGTTTTCTGCAAAAAGAAACCTCACCTGTGATATGAGTAGTATAAAGTAAGGCAGCCAGGATATGGCGAAAAGGGCAGCCACGAGTATGAGCATCTTGACTATCTTCACCCGATGGCGGTAAATGAAGAACCCTCTGGGAGTGCTCTTCCTCCGCCTCGACCCATCACAAAGCCCGTGCTCTCGGAGAAAGTTCAGTATTCTCAAGTAGTTGCCCAGGATGAAGATGAGGGGGATGATATACGCCGTCAACAGCAGCACGAAGCCGTTGGAGATGGAGGCTGCCGAAGAGAAGGTGACTGACGCGCATGACGTGGCGGAGATGTTGTTGTCGTCTGAGACGCTGATGTAGACGGAGTACTCGATGACTGTGGGGATGATGACGACGGCTGCACCCGTCCAGATTACTGGGATGATTTTTAAAGCTGCATGACCTACAAAATTGGCATTTATTTGTCATCACTGTTTGATAATGGTGCATAAGCACATTCTAATGATATAGTCGGAGTCGTACAATGGACTCTGTTTTAGTAGAGACTTCTTATGATTAAGGAAATGTTTTTCGTTCTTTTTATGTAGCTTTCTTCCAGTGTCTGAATGAACGCAGAGTGAACAAAACAGAAAGCAGAATTGTGAGTGAGTCAGGTTTTATGCTACTTTGAACAGTATACCAGTTATATCATTGCGTGTCAGGATAATGTGGGGGAACATTTCATCCACGAGTACAGGTATGGTGCTGACAAGCCCAGAAACATAATCAGGGCGAACCTGGATTTGAACAAGCGATCATAGGTTTCTGGGGTCCGTAAGGGAGGCAACTCTGCACAACGAATTGCGGCGCTTTCGACGACTGGGCCACCCCGTGTCCCATTTATTTTTTGATTCGCACAATGGTTTACCAACGAATGATTAACGGAAGATCCTTTCCTGATAACCTGACCGTTGAGTCTGCCTGATACAGCACGTTTAGCTGAGGTAACCAATCTCCCTGCTGCTCCCTGTAAACGATTTTAATTTTGACTTGTTGCTGTGGGTTGTAGCAAAGTGTTTTCCTTATTGATCGCCAATCCAAATCTGCATCGCACCTTATACGCTTCAGCAAACTGCTTCCTCGTGATCTAACGACAAAAGCAACATGATTCACTTCCTAAAACACTTTACTTAAAATACGAGGACGTATATTTTAGATCGTGGAACAATATATATAACTATCGAGTTGGAAACTACGTGATCAAACCTCAATGGTGGTGTTTATCACTAGGAAAATGGAAATTTCTTGAAAAGCGCACTTTGCAATTTTTGTCATTACTGTAAGTAATATTTCTTATCGACGGAATGGCGTGTTTTCACTCAATAAGTATCGGCACGTGTGCAGCTGTCTTCATTCATCAATCACCGCGTTATGCTTGTCGTAAAAGGCTCCTTACGGGATCGTGTGGTCAGGCTCGCTGACTTGGTTGATGCATGTCGCTGTATCCCCAATGCGTGGATCGATGCTCATGAGGTCAATCACTAGATTGTCTGGTCCAGACTCGATCATTTACAGACCACCGTCATATAGCTGGAATATTGCTGTGTGCGGCGTTAAACAACAAACAAACAAACCGCGTTATTTCGTGATTCTATTTCACGTGGCCAGGACTAAAGGATAAAAACAGTCGCCGAAAACACAACAATGACACCCGTATCAAATACATCACCATCGAATAACCATTAGTTCTTGTTTGTTTCACCCCATCAAAACATGGATGTTTTCTTCCTTTTGCCCGGCAGTGTATTAACATGAAGTTGTTTAAAACACAAGGTGAATCTCTGGCGTACCTGGTCGCTCAGGTTCCACCCGCAGCAGGATGGCCTTGCGTCGTTCACATGATATGGCGACCAGACTGTAGATGGACACGACAATACAGAAGATGGGCATGGAGTTGGTAATCTTGCACAGCACCACGCCTGAAACAAACATGTGGAATTGTTTTCTGATTATCTGAAACAAGAATGATTTTTCTGAGTTTGTTAAAACGTATCTGTTCTAGACGTATTTTTAACTGTTGTAGATGAAATAGTTCGATGTAGGTTATAGATTCAATGTCGTAGATATGACAGTTCAATGTTGTAGATGGAACAGTTCAGTGTTGTAGATATAACGGTTCCATGTTGTAGATGTAACAGTTCAATGTTGTAGATGTAACAGTTAAATGTTGTAGATGTAACAGTTCAATGTTGTAGATGTAACAGTTCAATGTTGTAGATGTAACAGTTCAATGTTGTAGATGTAACAGTTCAATGTTGTAGATATAACAGTTCAATGTTGTAGATGTAACAGTTCAATGTTGTAGATGTAACAGTTCAATGTTGTAGATGTAACAGTTCAGTGTTGTAGATGTAACAGTTTAGTGTTGTAGATGTAACAGTTCAGTGTTGTACAGGTAATTGTTCACTGCCACATTAAAGTGATGTAGGTTACATATGTTTGAATACGCTTGTGCTGGTGTTAGTGTGAAGAATCCTTTTTTGAACCAGTAACAGACAAGGTAATTATATAGTGACGATGTCTATTTCGCACAGGAAACTAATGCCAGTCGCTACCGTTGCTGTTGACCTCATATTTCTTCTTTAAAAGATCATTTATGAGGATGCTTGGGAACTGTATTCCTGGCAAATGGTCTTGCCGGGCGCTGAATCAATGATGAAGGTTTTCTGAATCAGTATGATAGACGCACTATTTACTCTCTCTTTTCACCCCGGAGTAGGAGGTGGGAAGCGGCGCAATAGGTTTCAATTGACCATACGTGGTGGTAAAATGAGATCGGCCTCATGAGGATGGTTGCTAATTGTGACTTGGCCGATTGTAGGTCATCTGGGATCTTGCTGGCCGACCCAGAAACAATCATGTCTCTCCCCTTACACTGACTGCTGTGCGTGTATGGGCAAACTGTTATCCTGAATGAGGATCCCACTGCAGGCTTTCTATTGATAATGCACTGTTGAATAACATTTAGGAACGTCCCAACATACTCATTATAAGAACGAAATGAAGTGTGACGAGTGTGAAGTCCTGGGTATTGACATATATTTGTCACTGAAATATAAACAAGTGTTTCTATAATTATAAGAAATATCTGCTTAAGCTGTCCATTGTAATATTCCGACTATTTAAAAACTAAACGACGAGTTGAAGTTATTTTATTGTTAAAGCAAACACACATCCTCCCACACCGAACACCTTGAAGATGAACGAACTGTGTTTTGAAATTGGACCAATTCAATTTGGGACCCAGCGCTCCTACTGTAGTCCTCGGACAAACACGCACGCACACTCAGAAAAATAAGAAAAATGTAGATTCCATTAATCACACAATATCACACCTTAGACCCACTGCTACTACATTTCGCTTGTGTTAGATGACAGCAAGGATGAGGACATATCTCAGCCTCCATTCTCCAGGGAAACAGGTTCCTTTGGTCTTACGAATCTGTCCTCTAAACAATCCAGTCTGGACCGGACAATAGAGTGACAGCAAATCTCGGCCAGACAATCAAGTGACACGATAGCGCGTATACTGATTTTGTTGAAACTAAAAACGATGTGTTAACTATGAAACCCCGAGAATAGTTCTGTGTGGCGACAAGTCAATATCAAAATCGTTTATAAGGAGCAGCACGGAGATATGGTTACCACAGCTAGTTCCGCCTGGCAGCTTGAGTAGAACAAGAGGTCTGCTGCATGTCCGGTTAGTCTGGCCCATTGTACTCTGAACCTGATCACCTCATGCAGTGAGTCTGGCCCATTGTACTCTGAACCTGATCACCTCATGCAGTGAGTGTTTGTATTATTCCGCAGTCGGCAATATTTAAATATAAATTGTCAATGCGAGAGACTAGGTAAATGTTACTGGGCTTATGATAAAACTCAGGGACTTCCGTCCATGGTCAGGCACGCTGACTTGGTTGATGCATGTCATCGATCCCAATTGCGTGGATCGATGCTCATGATGTCAATCACTGGATTGTCTGATCCAGACTCGATTATTTACAGACCGCCGTCATATAGCTGGGATATTGCTAAGTGTGGCGTTAAACAACAAACAGACAAACAAACAAAACTTCCGTCCACCAGCCGGAACATTGATCCTGTTCAAGGACATACATGTACATATTGTCAATGCAAGTGAACAAATGAACGTTACTGGGCTTATGATGAAACTACGTCGGCCTTTACAAGAAAAACTAGTGGTTGAAAAATATGGTGAGGGGTAAACGCAGATGGGTCTGATGGCACACACTCAGACAATACAGGATCACAGAGCTTGACTATTCAGTTCCTGGTTTTTGTCGGCATTTAATACATAAAGGCCTGGGGACCTGTATTTATCTTGACTCCCCCGGGTAATCGCGGTCAGTGAGTGAGTATACTCTTTGTCGTTTTAGTATCTTTGTCGTTGTAGTAAATGTTCTCGTAAGGTCACGACGGGAGACAAGAACTGTCTTAGGGGTCAAAGCTCAACGCTTTAGCCACTCTGCTACAAGACCGCCCCCTCTAGCAGTGAGCAGCGTTCTGTGATGGCTTGACATTGTGACAAGACGAACAACTGTTTAAGTGATAAACGAGGAACTGAATACATGTGATTCACGTTCACCCACTAACACACATTGAGCCATTGATCAAATCCTATTGTTATGATGAACATACAGATGTCCATTGCGAAATGCAAATGCGCGGGTTAATCGTCTGTTTATTCCATATTCCCTGGAGCGTCATCTGTCAGTCTATCACAGATATGCGTTCCACGATAACAGTCAAAGAGTAGAAAGAAGGGACTGATCTAATCCGAACTGGAGTACACCTTGTATACAACACTGCTACCAAGACTCTTGCGACCCATAAATAAGCACATCAGCGCTGGACAGACTCGCAAATCTTGTTTTGGACTCGCTTGTGTCCTCTTGTTATCTTTAACACAATACTTCAGTTTCTGAGGACAATCACAATTCCGTTGCCTAGCAGCTGCAGATTTCAGGCCATCACAGTATTCACTGGATGTCAATGGGCTTGGTTAATTGTCACAGGTGTCAGCGAGCGAAATGATCCCGGTATACGGAATCCCAGGAGGGACATTGTCGTTAATCTTGACACATTTTGCTTGTTTGTGTAGGGACAACAACACGATAGTGTCCCTTCAAGGATTCCATACCTTGGTGATTTACAACGGTCTCAGTACAACCAGTCACGTGTTGTATTCAAATGCATGATTTATAGTAAAACAATATTTTCTCTTGCTTAAGTGAGCGAGACAATCAATGTTGTTTAACGCCGCGGCGAACAGATATGTTACTTTGGAATATGCTACCCCGGAAAACCCCTGGGGGTTTAGTACAGTATATGTTACAGGCAGGGGTCTATGAGGAACTACCTTCATGCACATTTTGTCTGCACTTTGATTAAATGTTTATTACATAAATATTATCTTTCCTTAGAACTGATCGACTGAGACCCATCCTATTATTTTCAATTGACACCACTAACATGTAAGGTCTCATGCTCCCCGCTCTCATTTGCAATATATCAAATGCAATTTTGTATCTCGATTTAATTATGTAAGACGCCATTATCCAAATAGGTCGATAGTTTCCGAATGAAATAGCGCTATGGGAAAGAACTGTAAATTTGTTTTCTGCCGTCTGTTATTTTTTTATGAATGTGAAAAATAAAGGAAGTAAATAAAAAGGGGTATTTTACCGTTATTCTTATTCTTTGGGCTCTGGGAACATGAACTAACATAGAGGTTAACCCAAGTCCCCCTTGAGACCGCTGGACAACTTATAATGACTGCCGGCATGTACCTATAGCCATGGCCATGTGGCACACAATACGTCCCCGCGACCACGACCGGTATTAACATATGTGCCAGAGAGAATGAACAGAGGTAGCTAAGTAATTTATGTTCTATGTAATTGTAACCTGTTAGTTTCCTTGTGGCCATGTGACAAATATAGAACGTTAACGCCAGGGAATAATCAGACTCGAATATCTGTGGAAATAGATTCCACTGGGCAAACAAAGTATTGAAAATCCCCCTCTCCTACCAACAGCCGCCAGCAGCAGCTGTTACTAATTCATTGCATTGCGTGTTTCCACTTGATACAGATTCCCGATTTCCACTAATTGATGAGCTAAAGAGGTACCCTTGGGGCTTGTCACAGTCCGAAAAAGGACGGCGAAATGAGGTTTTAAGTCCTGTCATTTTCCTTTCATGTCTGAAGCCCGCCATTTTTGTTACATTGACAGGTACATCGGAAGCGATCAGAATGCATTTCATTCTGGTGTGTTATAGTGCTGGATGCAAATGACATCAAGGCTAGGTGTTCCCCGTAGTAATATGACTGGAGTATTGCGGCCAAAACCCAACTCACTCACTCAAAATACAAGGATTCAGTTATAATGTACAATTGTAATGTAACTTCATATTGGCACCAGTTAAAATTTTGGAATATTTTACAGTGATGGAACTATACACCCCCATCGCTTTTTTTTGTAAATAACATATACTGAACAACAAGTCCCTGTGACATTGAATAAGATTTAATGCAAAGTTATGTTTTTTACCAAATCTGAAACAATTTCGGTTTGCAATAGAAAAAAGACTCCTGTAAGTGTTCAAATGGTTTAATTTGTCATACTGACTTCAGAAAATGCGTGATTTCATAAAAAAAAACATGAACATGACAAAACGTCAATTTACACATTAATAGCGTGTGTGTTGACCTCTGGTTGCGATGCAAGCAACACATCTTCGTCTCAGTATGAGGCTGGGTGTTGTCATGTTGAAAGGTAATGCCTGGGCCATGACGACGCAAAAACGGTAGAACAACAGGGCCGATGATCTCGTCGCGGTAGCGCTGTCCATTGAGATTTCCCTCTACCACTATCAATCGGGTCCTCTGTCTTGCTG